TGGCAAGACAAACAACTGAGCCATCACCACAGCAGCTACAATCACATCATTAGCAGCACGATCAGCAATTAACAAAAATTATTTCAAAATTCCAAATAGTTATAGCTACAAAATAAAAAAGCTATTCTGAATAAATAACACAATGGCTGGCAAGCTACTAGCATGGCATACACCTCAAGATAAGTATGTTGCAAGCAATGTAACAGTGTCTCTGACCTCATTTACAGAAACAGGGGAGCAAGTTGTTGCTTGTGCTGTTATACACAGTGCATTGCGTTAGTGAAGCACCCCTTTCTTTCGAGCTTGTATCTTTCCATCCATCTCTTTCTCTCTCTAACTCTTTCCACTTGCCCAAACCTGCATTTAAGAACTGCTCAGTCTCTTTGAGGCTCTGTTCCAGAACCTCCTGAGCCCAGACTGTGAGCTGAGCTCCTGGACACTAAGACTAATATGGAATAGCATGATGTATGAGTAGGTACTTAGACTTTGTAAATCCATGGATCAGTGCAGTGTAAGAATTAAAGATGCACAGGAAAGCAAGAAAAAGGAGATGTTGTAAGGGGTCTACTTTACTGCCAGTGATTTTTCCTAATGTAGGCACTCTTCTAACTTTCTGATGAAACATTGCCCTCTCCTGCAATGCATCTTCTGTGGCTTCAAACAAGGGCCCAACTCACAGCAGGGTGCTGCTAGAACACAGTGTGATTGCTTTGGTCTGCGTTCCTGGCCCTGTGGATAAACCAAAGTATTAATTGACTCTGCCAGCGTGGTTCTTGACTGATGTGCTGGGATGAAATGGGCTGGGATCAACTATGCTGGGATATGATGGGCTGCGGGCTCTGCAGAAATGTTAGGGGCCGTGGCTGGTGCCAGAATGCAAAGTGATTTCTTTGGTCTGAGGCCATGAGAAGACTCTCTGTTGAAACATTGGACAAACAAACTTCAGGGAGTTTGTCGACGCTGTCAGTGTGTCGAGTAACCGCGTCTGTGCTCATAGGCCCATGAAACAGCCTGCAGCTGGAAGGGGTTCGTTGTGCGGATTGGGACTTAAGGACAGCAGAGAAGCAGACTGGCTTTCTTGATTGTTTTCACATGGATATTAGAGACTGTAAAGGGAAGTGCTACATAAAAACAATTGCTCCCAATAAACATTGCAGTCATCTAGTTAATGAAAAGGTAAAAATAGATGTATATTTGCTTTTGCATCTGGACCTGCACAATATCAAGTATTTTGTCTCATATGCTACTTTGTTATTTTGAGGCCACTGTGGTAGAACAGGGCTCAAGCCAGCGTATCCCAATATTTACATTTCAGCAGTGTGCAGGAACGTCAGTTCCCGATTCTGGTCAATCTCTATCCGGGGAGGCAGGAAGAAATGAAGTGCTGCTGTTAGTAGCTGGTCAGTTTCCAGTTTTCACAGGCCACCATCAGATAATCCCTTGATGCACACTGTGACTATGAGGAGGCAGGGTGGCTCGGCGAATCCATTCTCCCCTCTCCAGTCCAGCTGCAGCCCCTCTCCAGCTGTGCAGCAGAGACGGAGGGCTAATTAGCTGGGAGCTGTCACAGCAATAATGCCCACCATAAATATTGGAAGGCTGGCACCCCTTTCCCTTTCAATAACATCTGTCCCAGCAGCAGAGACTCTTTCCTGTGTCTGTTTAGACAAATTCCTTTGCTAAAGCACTGCTGGTGATAAGAACATGGAGCCTCATAGCTGGGTGGAACAGCCAGGCCCACACCTTATATAAACAGACGTGCATGAACCACCCACCCCCACCATGATCCCAGGGCTCAGGGAGCAAATGTTCTTACGCTGGAGGCCCAAGTGGAACCACACACACATCTGTGCTAATCCTGGGGCTGCACTGGGGTTACAGATTGCTGTGATATTGCAAGAGCAATTGGTGATCACTCACATGTAATGCCACCGAGGATCAGGCGGGTTCTCTGTGTTAGGCTTAACATGTGCATGTGTGATTGGTGCCAAGAGTTACTGGTAGTCCTAAAGAGAATAAAGACACATTGCAACTCCAGACATAAGCAAAAAATAACAAATGGTAGTTACTTGGTGCATTTTGTACTGATTGTACAGAAATGTCAGTGTCTGCTGATTGTAAGTATTGGCGTAACCCAGGACTGTGTCCTCTGTGCCTTTTGTGTTTGGGTAGAGTTAAATGGCTTTCTGCTGATGAATTTCACCTTGAATATTTTTTCTGAGTTGAAAAATCAAATGGAAAAAAGGCCCAGGGCTTGTAACAGTAATTGCATGCATAAAAAGCGAAAGAGCACAATGTCAGAGGCGAGTGTTAAAAGAAAGCTTCACTGTGCAGACAGGGCCTGCGTCAGAGGGGCTCAGACAGCTCACATGGTCCTAAGTACATCTCTGGCTCTTGGCTGCGTGTGTAGGGGTTTGTCTGTTTTTCTCTTTGTGCGTTTTTGTGGTCTTGCAAGAGCCTGTCTCTTAGAGAAGTTGCACAGAACATAGCGCCGAACACAAAAGGAGCATGGGCATCACATAGGGCCTTACAGAGATGCTTGTTAAAGCCATACCACTTGCACAGCAGTTATCACATTTTGAATTTGTGAGTTTGTGAAACAGGAACCAGAGGGCACAAGTGAAAAACTATGTGTAAGTGCATTTAAAACTGCGAACAGGAGGTACTTTTTACCCAGAGGGGTATGGGAGTGTAAAACTAGCTGCCAAGCCATGTTTGTTGAAGCAGATATCCTGGCTTCCTTCAAGAAACAGCTGGATCAGATCCTGGAATCAGTTAACCACTAACTACCAAACAGGTTAGATGAGCAAAATGGCCTCTGATTTCTAACCTTCCTTACGTTAAGAATACTGTGATCTGCAGGGTTTACATGTACAGTACATAGGGTTTTTAAGATGCAGTATATTTAATATTACATCTAACAGTTGCTGGCTTTTGTTGAATGCAGTTGTCCACAGCTTTCTGGAGGTGTAGTGTGTATTTAAACGGGAAAAATATTTTGCTGTGTATCCACAGAAGAAAATTATTTTGGGATTTCTGTGACCATGTTGAGGGTCTCCGTTTATGAAGCCGATGTGGCCTTATTACTACGCTTGATGAAGGTGTGGATGTGGATTAGCTTCTGCAGTATACGTGTGGCGGAGTATATGAGCAAGTAGTGCAGGAACGTCTGTTTGCCTTTGTGTAATGGTTGTGCTCCTGCTGTTTGCGGGCATATCTTCAGTGATGATGGGCTGTGGACAGCCTGCTCAAAAAGAAATCTGGATTCCTTCGATACCATCTGGATCAACAGAGCTGTTTTTAGGCTAAAGCCCCCTTGACTTGCGAGCCGGCGAGGGAGCGCGTTGGAAGACACGTCTCATCAGATAGGGTAAGTGGCCGAGATAAGGCCATTTAGCCACGGAATGTGGGCGTGTAATGAGATTAGAATGGTGCAGGGCACGGTTTGTCAAGCCAAGGCAAGGATGCCCGGGACTCCAGAGCTGAAACCATAACAATGCGCAAGAAAGGAAGGAAACAGAATGAGAAGAGAACATACTGTATAGGAAAGACTCCCAAAGGCCACAAATAATTTCATCCAGTACAGTACTTTGGAGATTTAATTGGAGAGGTTTTGTCACAAAGTTTTTGACAGAAGTTCAAATGCAAACAAAGTGGATCTAGACACCAGCTGTGATCTAGTGTGGCAGAGAGGCGTTACATGAGCAAGAATACACTGGATGTTCTTTAAAAAAAGGGTATGGTGGTGCGGTGGTGTGAACTGCTGCTCACAGAACTGGGGTCCTGGGTTCAGTTCCTGGGGTCCTGGGCCCTGTCTGCATGGAGTTTGTATGCGTTTCCCCCAGCATTCCAAACACATGCTAGCAGGTTCACTGGCTTCATGGAAAATTGTCCCTGGTGTAAGTGTGAGTATTTCTGTGTGTCCCGTTCAGGGTGTATCCTGCCTTGTGCCCCTTGATTGCTGGAATAGGTTCCGGCTCCCAGGCGACCCTGAATTGGAAGAAGCAGAAAATGCATGGATGAATTTGTGTTTGCTCAATCAACCCTATGTTCTGCATTATAAACAGTATACAGTACTGTCAATGGTTGCATTATTCTGCAGCCAACCTGACACCTGTTATGAGGAGGTGTGACAAAAAGAGAAAACATTAAAGAAACATTCAATAAAAATTTCAAATGATCAGCCTTAGCACAGATTGTACAATTATAACACAACATCAAGCACAAAATGGAGCTGGCACAATCACTGCAGCAAGTGGAAGCCTCAGTTTTTACCAGGCCAGGCAATCTGTATCTTTAAGGAGGTGTGTCTGGAAGGAGCAGCACACTGCGCTCTTTCACCTAGAAATGAAGATGAATCCAAAGACCCCGGCAGAGCTGCAGTTTTTTTCCCGAGCGGTGTGGTGCAAGGAGAAAGGCATCTCATTGCCTAATTCGGCCTGAGTGCGTGTTTCCCGCCCAGTATCTGGCGCTATCTCAGCTATTCCAAACAGAGTGAGCCCAGGAAGCACGGAGGAGCGGAGGGTGTGCCAGCTGCAGATGCGCAGCCTCTCTGGTACTGATGCCAGCGCAGTTACAGTTGAAGCACAGAGGGCACTCGTACAGGGGGAACTGGTGTGGCTGAATCGTACACTTTTACTGTGTGGCATTATCCTGGCTTTGTGCTGCCCTGTAATTGAACAGTCCTGTACTGTAACCCATGAGTTACGGTGTCAGACAG